TTTTTAATCAAATAATTAATTTTAAAAAATATAAATAAATAAATAAAATTTTAATATATCCTCTAAAAAAATTTAAATGAATAACTTACAATATATTTTTTCTTAATATTTGCACATTTCTTTTACATTTTAATCTAATGAAATAAGGGGGAGGAGAGGGGGAGTAGAGAGAATTGAAAGGAAATTCTCGCGTTCTATTAGTTTCCTCGAAGCAAACATGAGTTAAGTTTTATAGTTTTTTATTTATTAGTCCAAAGTAACTTTTGTCCAAACTAACAAAAAGAACCAACTGTTTCTCCAGTAAATGATACTAAACTTATTTTGGGAATCTCATATCGCACGAGCCAGATTTGACCACGCCACCTGTCTTTTATGGAGGACTCGTTCCCATGTATCAACCAAGATTTGTGGGTCAAATTCACACACCCAACCACTTTTGATTTTTAACCCAACCAACTACTAGCCCCATAACCAGTCCTTTTTTCCCTTATTTCCTTTTCCTTTCCTCTCCTTTCAGGGCCTAATCTCAGGGGAAGGGAGCACATGCGTATAAATGCATAGGGACAAAGAACTGGGAGTACAACTTTTGGAAGTGGAGGAGAGCAGCCCTTACGTTATCTGCTCGACTTGGCTTCCTTTCTTTGGAACTTCTGATATTCATTAGCTTCTTAAAGGGAAGACTTTTTCTTCTCTCTCTCTGGTAAAAGGTTGAATTTTTTTGCAGGAATTGCATCTGGGTCTTCAATGGGGAGTTGGGTTTTACCAGAATGCGGTCTTAGACCCCTCCCTAGAATCTACCCACGACCCAGCACCGGTTTACCACCCACCACCGCCAACGCTATCAAGATTAGACCTTTTGCAGTCCCTAAAGCCCACATTTTCGGTCCTTCATTTAAGGTCTCCAAGTGGTACGGCTATAGGAACTGGAGGTTGAATGTAAGTGCTCCGTTGAGGGTGGCTAGCACTGGGGAAGATGAGAAAGAAAGAAAGAGAATCAATGGAATGGAAGATGATGGAGAATTCAATCCGGGTGCTCCACCGCCATTCCGTTTGGCTGATATTAGAGCTGCTATACCTAAACATTGCTGGGTTAAGGATCCTTGGAGATCTATGAGCTATGTTGTAAGAGATGTTGCTGTGGTTTTTGGATTGGCTGCCGCCGCTGCTTACCTAAATAATTGGCTTGTTTGGCCTCTTTACTGGTTTGCTCAGGGAACCATGTTCTGGGCACTCTTTGTTCTTGGTCATGATTGGTAAGTTACTGTCTTTCTTTGTTTCAGACATCAATTGGGGGTTGTTTTCAGTTCAATTCTACCTTATGGGAAGATTATTCTCAGTTTTCTCCTTTACTGAAGCTTTTCATATGAACTAATGGCTTCAATTTGTGTTTTCAGTGGTCATGGTAGTTTCTCAAACAATCCAACATTGAACAGTGTAATGGGTCATCTTCTTCATTCTTCAATTCTCGTTCCCTACCATGGATGGTCAGTTCTTGAACCTCCCTTTTCCTAATTGATTGGATTGTCCTGTTTTTTCATTTTTTTTTCCTAAAGAACATTTTGGAAATCCTAATGCTAAGTCCATTACATATTTGATGATGTGCAGGAGAATTAGCCATAGAACCCATCATCAGAACCATGGACATGTTGAAAATGATGAATCGTGGCATCCAGTAAGTTGTTCTGCCATTAGCACCTCTGTGACTCTTGTCTTCTAATCTCAGGGGAAATATTTCAGTGAAAAGTGCAATTACTGATATAAATCATATGAACTTGCAGTTGTCTGAGAAAATTTACAAGAGTTTGGATAATGTAACTCTACTATTGCGGTTCACTTTGCCCTTCCCACTCCTTGCTTACCCTGTGTATCTGGTGAGCCATTTTGTTCTTGACTGTTTTAAAATCATTGAATGAACCTATTTTATGTGGGTTGTATTTGTATTCATCCGTGCTATGGTGATGGTTTAAATTACAGTGGGGTCGAAGTCCTGGAAAGAAGGGCTCCCATTTCCATCCAGACAGTGATTTGTTTGTCCCAAATGAAAGAAAAGATATTATCACCTCCACTGCCTGCTGGGTTGCAATGGTTGCACTGCTTGGATATTTCTCCGTTGCAATGGGTCCTGTTCAGCTGCTTAAACTCTACGGAATTCCCTACTGGGTAAGTTGGGTCTCTTACTGCGTTACTAGTTTCTGCTAGTTTTTCTCTATCAAACCTAATTCTCCCTGTATGGAATTCGCATTCAAAATGGCAGATTTTTGTCATGTGGTTGGATTTGGTGACTTATCTGCATCACCATGGCCATGAGGATAAACTTCCATGGTACCGTGGAAAGGTATGGGAATTGTTTGTCCGATACTATCCATCATTGTTCCATATCCCATATGTTTTGGCATTTACCATTTAGTCTAAAAAACAAGATCAAGAAGAAATCTTGTCTTGCCAAAGGAGATTTGTGCTTTGTTTTGATGTGATTGATCTTTTATGTTTATTAAACAGGAATGGAGTTATTTGAGAGGAGGGCTAACAACACTTGACCGTGACTATGGATGGATTAACAACATCCACCATGACATTGGAACCCATGTGATACATCACCTCTTCCCCCAAATCCCACACTATCACTTGATTGAAGCAGTGAGTAACGTCCTCCTTTTCTCTGCCCATTTTCCAAAAAACTGTTAAGCTTAGAAAGTCATTCTCATCTTCGTTAATGTTTGCAAAATTTGCATCACAGACTGAGGCGGCAAAGCCAGTGCTTGGAAAATACTACCGGGAGCCAAAGAAATCTGGTCCTCTCCCACTTCACCTACTTGGAGTTCTGATAAGAAGCATGAAGCGAGATCACTATGTGAGCGATGAAGGGGATGTTGTTTATTATCAAACTGACCCTCAACCACATGGATCCAAGAAATCAGATTGAAGTATTTAGGCTATGACCTACTTTTATCAAAATGTTATAAGTTCTTTCACCATCTATTCTTTTCTCCTATTGAAAAGAGCCTATTTTTGCTGTAAGGCAAGCCATGTAATGATGTATACATTTATTTTTCTCTAAGGAAATCTGCTCTTTTAACTTGTAATCTTCTAGGTACATAGAATGCCAATTAGTGGTGGTGGGACTAATAATTGGTTCTCTAAACTTGAAGCATCTAGTGCGTCAAACGTATCACATTTTAAGTCTCTAGAAGCACACTCTTAATAAAGATGACCCCGATGGGGAATTAATCTTGAAATATGAGTAAACTGGCTTCAGGATACGTTTGACCATTCAAACCAAAAGGAGTGGGGAAAAAATAGTTGCTACAAGCAGGCAGCAGCAAATTCAGGGCCAAATTGTAAAAGATAACAACCACAGTAGAATAAAGTGGGTTCCTCTTATCCATCAGGCTAAGAGAGCCATTTCTTTGTTCAGTATTTATGAAAACAACAGATCATCCTACTCTGTTTTTAAGGATGGTCTGTTAGTCTGTCACGTTGGGATTTCTTAAAATGCTCACCAACTCAGAAGACATAAATGCATCGGTTGAGACAGTGCGACAAGACTATTTTTTGTAGAGTAGTTACATGTATTTGTATATTATGACACAGTTTTGTTGGTAACCATTCTTCTGTAGCAACTTGTTGCTTTATTGTAGGGTTAATGTCAACTATCATCTCTCTATTATAAAAAATAGTTCAATTTAAACCTTCTACTTTCAATTCACCTCATGTC